AAAAATTCTAAGGAGAGCCCACACCCAGCCACTCAAACACTATGAAAGCAGTCTTTCTACATAATTGGCGCATTCAGTTAATTGTAAGCTTATATGTACATATATATGTATGTGAGCATGTTGATAAGTATGTTGGCATGGGCGTTGCTTTAAGCAGCAACCTCTTCACTTTGCGCTGGCTGGCCGCTGTTTCCGTTGCTCGTCTTCGCATTGGTGTTGGGGGAAAAAGTTCTCAAAGTAATGCAGACATGGTAGCCGGAAGTAGGCCGCTGCTGAAATTTCTTTTCCAAGTCGGATGTGAATTAGCGCTTACGGATAATTTATAAAGCTCTAAATACAATGTAATCAACTTGCCGCAAATTACCATTAAGCCTTTTTTCTGCGCTATAGCAGGTTATATATACACACGTACAAACAGACAAACAGCTATGTAAATAAAGATATTTATATCGGCTGGATTGCTTTGTTTTCCTTAGCTGTTGAGGGGCGTCACTTTGATTGTGATTAAGTTGAAAAGTTTGCTTCCCTGCACCATTTTATAATTTCTTTTTTGCAATGTTTTAAATTTTTTTATATTTTTTTTTATAAAAAAAATGTATATTTAAGTTCTCTGCTGACTGTACAAACATTCTTATTAAATTTTTTCTTCAATTTAAAAAAATTCTCTGAATATATATCGTGAAAAAAGTTTCTGTTGAGGAAAAAAAACAAATAAAATTACCGTAAAAAAATAGCAGAAAATTTGCACTGTTGTCAGGCAAAAATTATGATTTATATTTAACGCTTGTGTTGCGAAAAAGCAAAAGCAGCAAAAAAAAAGTGAAAAAATATCCATTTTAAAAATATGCTCATGGAGCGGTCATAAGTTCAGCCGCGTTTCTAGCCAACGTACAAACATTTTAACGGTATTATGATTACACCGCGTAAGAGTAATGGCCGGCACATTGCATTGCTGGGCGTCTTTAAAGACGGCATCTGTTTTTCTCACATTCTTCGCCATAACTTTTCAACCATTTATGTATATAAATATATAGATATATATACACGCGTTTATATTTTCTTGCAAACCGATTTTTCTACTGGTTTTTTCGGGTTTTTTCCTTTTATTATGATTTTCGTTGTCTTGCGGTTTTGCACCTTAAGGACTTTCCACAAGATTTACGATGCTGTGAATACTTGCAGGTCATACCCACGTACAAATATATGAACGTACGTAAGCGTAGATAAGGTGGAGTGCGTAAAAAATGATAAAAAATCATAAAATATGAAAAATAAATTATTGTGCAAAAATATTCCTTGAGTTCACTTTTATTTTATTTAATCTATTGATTTGAAATTTTCCAGTATAAAATAGAAATTGAAGTTTGGCGAGTCAGAATGATACATATATACAAAGTAGACTTTAAATACTTTACATTAATGTAAGGACTCATAATTTCCAAGTTATTTTACCGATTTATTAGTTTGGGTTTGAATTGAAATTCAATATTTCAGCATATGAAATATGTGGTCGGCAAATCTGACTTTGACAGAACAATTTTGAAATGTTTGTTCGTTTTTAAATTGGCCGCAAAGGAAGTTATTTTCCAAATTTTTTATTACTACTATCATAGCCCACGTTCCGACTGGAAAAATGAACCATAAATATGACTCTTTCGGATACAACGGCTGGTAAAAAAAAAATATTCACACATAAATGTACTTAAAGAGGTTTCTATGCTCTAGATATCAAGTAACTCGAAGCATGATTCTTGCGAGTACATCGGACCGAGGTACACCTCCCGGATTGAAGGGTTAGTTAGTAAAACAAAGCGAACCAAAATTAAGATATTTGCAAAAAGTTCGATCCAATCTCACTTTCCTACGAAATAAAGCTTTCCGCATATTATATTGCAAAAGGTTAATTAACCTTAGCAAATACCAACTCACAGATGTTTCACATATTAAGCAAAACCAGATCATTGAAATGACCCTAGGCCCACTTTCAGGAAAAGAGAGTACTTCCCATGTGAGAAACTTTATGTAAATCAAATGATTTAAAAATTAATAAGGTTTTAGAAAATATATCGTTTCCACATCCATTTCCGCGAAAATCTTTTCCTATAGTTTATATATCATACTCAGAATACACCCCTCAAAGTTTCTACCATCACTGATTGAGTTTAAAGAAAATAAAGTATTGAATAAATGAAAGTAAAAACTAATAATTTTGAGTCGGCGCCACAGACAACAGCTTCGGTAATCAATTGAACGTTAATTAATTAATTAATAATGGAAAGCATTATGCGTGGCGTCGACTTGATGCTTCGCCTGTAAATGTCAGGCGCTCTCGAAACTAAACGAGAAAGCAAACCCGAATGGGTACACCTGAGGTAGGGAAATGGCTAGGTGAGAGTAATTTTGGACATTCTCCCCGAGAGCTATGAGTCGTATAGAGTGCTTACATTTGAGACCTGTCAAGATAGAATGTGACTGTATTGGAACAAATGAAAAGAGACAAAATGTATCTCTGTAGTAGTTAAAGTGCTTAAAAGTACTGCGCTATTTGACGGTGCTTTTGACTGCCGCTTTGGCCAAAGTTTTGATAGCATACAAGCATACAAGGTAAGACAAGTCTAAGAAGTTGGTATCCAGCCAACGAGAACCTTTACAGTTCGCTGGAAATTTAACGATGCATTGGTAATCTTATTAGGGTAATTCTTTAAGTTTTATATTTTTTAATGATCCCTATTTATTGCTTGTTAAGTGCCGTCTAAAAATAATTAAGGTGAATACTTTATTTATTAAGACTAAATTTATCCTTTTTTGCTTTTCACTTTTCGTCGATTTTATTTTTATACTTTTCATGTATCAACTTGAAATAGTATTTTGTTTTTGAGGCATTTCCATCAAACATGATACACAAATGCTCTAGCAATTGACATGATCATATACCTAAAGACCAGAAAGTTTCGGGAAATTGTCATTTAAACTGCCCGCCCTGAACATTTTTCAGCACTTTTTTTTGTTAATTTGATAACACTTTGGTAAATACTGCGCCAAAAATGAGCGCGATCTGTCAAACGAGTTTGTTTTCAGCAGCTGTGGAAATCCGTCGATCTCAGTTCCCTTTACGAATTTTCTTTTACGGCCCCAAACGAGTCGAACCGGGTTCCACGAAGCGATAAACTGAGTTTTGGAAAAAAAGTCGAATGGTGCCAAAACCTGTGAATACAATATGGATGTTTCCGCGCGAACGCGTCAAACGCTCAAATAATACTCTTTATTGACCGTCTGTCCCGTTGGAACAAATGAATGAATTTCCGCAAGGCTTCTGACCTTAATGTATAGGACCGATTTTTCAGATTTGAAATTTGGGATTGTATGTACATTTTCCGAATCATCTACGAGCTTGGAATTTGGTATTCTATACAGATGTGAAGATACATTTTTGCTTAAAGTTGTGTAAACCGAACGACTGTTACATATAACTCATATACACCGATTTTCTCAGAACCCCTTGACAATATTATGTGAGAGTATGAAATTTGGTATTTGTTCGGATATGACGTTTTGAATAAATAATTTGTGAAATATATATTAAAATCGAAAATTATTGAAAGCGCAGATTTGAGAATGAATATATAACCCTTAAAGCATATAACCATAAATTAGCTATGGTCATGAAATATATAAAGACTTCGGCATGGCGACTGATGACAGCTCTTTTGTCTTGTTTTTAGGAGATGTTCTTATAATTCTAAAGGCCCCGAATCTACTAATTACAAGATACTTCATTTGTTATACTTTTTTCGTAACCCCCGAATTCACTTTAAACCCCGGCTATTCTCTCACTTCTACTATAATTATTACTGTTTTTTGTTTTTCAATGACAAGGTACCCTGAAATGTACGGATGATTTGTACGTAATTTTTTTAATATTCTTATTGATTTTATGATTCAATGAAAAATTACAACCTAAAGACTTTGGGACACCATTTGTGGGCCTAAACTTTCAACTATACTCTATTTATTATAGAAAAATTTATTCCGTAAGGCAACGTGCGCATAACCCAATTGTACGTTCTAACCAATGAATCATACCCCCATTTCCTACCTTTTTGGTTAAACTTTTTTTCAACAACTTTCTTTCTTCATGTTTGAAAGTATCCATTATCTAATACAAAATTTAGTTTCAAAATCAGACGATGTTGTTGCCGGATATGTGGGATTATACATTGAAATAAATTAATGAACCAGCCTACCTTACATGCTAACATTTTTTCTTCCAACTTTCTGCAGGATTAACGTTGTGCAATACAAAAATTATTTATGTGTATTTTTTTTTGTCAGTTGAAAATTTAAAATTTTTAAAGTGTCTTATATAATAATTACAGTGGCTCTCAAACCTCGCTTAAATATTTTAGTTGGAATTTTTAGATACTTTAATTTCAAAAACTGCAAAGAAAAAAAATAACAGCTTAAAAACCTAAAATATTTTATTGTCAATATTTTTATTTTCTAAACATTTCCCAGATGAAGAAATCAGTCACGATTATTCAAAATTCACCAAATACACTTTAAGCCCCACCATTTTTCACTCTTACCATAAAAATTACTGTTTTCTGTTTTTCAAATGAGTCTCGTTTTCTGTTTATAATCGGAAATTATCATCTTCTCAAATTTTTATGAATTATATTGAGTTGCTTAACTCGTCTGAGGGCTTAAGTGTAATAAGTAATTCCTGAAATAAAAGTCCTTAAAAATGTGAAAGCTATTTAAATGTTCATTTCTACAACATTTTAACTATTTTTGACTTTTGTTTATAATCGTTGAATTTATTTTTCTTTCAAAAGACCACCCATAAATCAAGTAAGAATCGTTGACCATAATTCATTCCTTAACTTCTCTTTCAATATTTTCATATATTCTACATACATAAATATATTTTATTGCATAAACGAACATTATATAATATGAAAACGAAAACTTTATGACAAAAAGTGGACAGTTGTACTTACCACCACGCACTTCACATGTCAACACAATGTTGTCGCCCTCAAGCAGTGGACCCACAGCGCCGGCGACATCACGTCCAGAAGCATCGTAAACCAGAATTTGATGTGGAGGAACTGCACAAAAGATATTTTTATGTAGAGAACATACATATTTATGTACATATTTACATATAAAGGAGACAGACTAGCTGAGTTAAGTTGCATTAAGTGGCATAAATGCAAATTCGATTTTTACACCGCCCAGCGCATTTAGTCACCAGCTGATTTGCAAAAAATTTTGAGAGGAATAAAAAAACTCTTAGCAGCTATTTTAGTGGCGAAACAAATTTATTTAGAACAAAACTTAATATTCTTCTACTAAAATTGTTTAGGAAAATTTATTTAATTTATTAACTCTCGAGTTAATGCAGGTTTAAACCATCTTTTGCATCTTATATGGTCTGTCTGTCTGCTCTATGATGTAAATGCGTGGCAGATTATTTACAACAATGCAATTTTAAGATGTGTGTTTAATATGTATTTTAAGATGTGCACATATATAATATAAAAGTATTTGTTTGTATATGATGCAGTATTGGAAAGTTGCTTACTTTTCAATAGAATTGACAACATCTTAATGCACATAAATACATACATACATATACATTTACAAGTGCTTAGGTATTAAACACATACATATATGAGCGTGTAATTGTGTATTTGCGTATTTTGGCTGATTTAAACATTATTGTGTGTATACATACCAATAACCGTTAAATTAATTCTATGATTACGCGTTGGGGAATTCTGAAAATCGACGCGACATCTGTACACCTGTGGGACAACGAGAAATGAAATAAGATAATTTAATAATATTAATGGAAATTTGATATGCGGAGAGGAAAAATGTTTGAGGTAAAGAAAATGAAAATAAAAATTGATTGTTATGCAACAAATTTTTAAGGCGAAGTGCTTTAAGTTCGAACAGATTGAATCGAAAAAATCAAAATAAATTTTATGTTATAAAGTGAATTTAATTCGAAAGTAATTTAGAGCAGCAGTTAAAAAATAATTTACGCAAGCAGCAACTAAACTGGAGCTCTAGAAAGGGTGTTTTTTTTGACGTATCTAAACAAGATAAGTCTGTTACGGAGTTGATCCTTTTGACAGCTGTGACTTGATTTGTACTCAGTGTGTTTTGTCATTTTGTAAATCGTGCAAAATTTGAGCAATCATGGATCGGTATCGCTCCAAAAGCGCTGTTGTTGCTATAAAGCAGAGCATCAAGGAAGACTCGAATGAGACCATCCACCAACGCGCGCAGCAATTCGAACTGTGTTCATCTAGTTCAAGTAAGGTTTTGCGAAGGGTTCTGGCGTGTAAGCTTAGAAAATGGAATTTGTGTCCGAATGGAAGCCGAAGGGCCATCAAGCGCTTCACAAGTTCGTTGAATGATTTCCATAATTTTTAATATTTTATAGCTCAAATTTGTCTGAATAAGTACATCACTAAACAAACTTGTCGCATTTGAAGTGATGACAACTGTTGAGACGCCTTTACATCTTCAAAGAGCTACTGTTGGGTGTGCTCTATGGAAAGAGGAAATCGTTGGTCCATATTTCTTCTTCGTCGGCCATATTGTTACAGTCAATGGGAAAGTTTTGCTGCCATGGCTAATGCCTGAATTGGACGTTGCAGATGTAATAACAAATTTGTTGAAAATAGCGTTATTCGGCGTATTGAGCCTATAAGATCATGCGAGTTAACACAGCTGGACCCTTCTTTGTGAGATTATGTAAAGTCGCTTCTTCACACAGACGATTGACGTCTTGGGAGAGAATGTTCAGCACGTTATGACCGACATAGGGCCCAAATTGCTGCATAAAGTCATAGAAATTGGTCCTCTTGGCTGGAAGTTTTTTGAGCCAGCCCTGGCGGTCACTTTCTCGAAATAATTTTTTAAACATAATATTTTTTTAATAAAGATATTGGACCATAACTTTAAGTTATATATATTTGTATATGTATATTTCATTATCATATTAAGGTATGTGAAAGCGCGATTTCGAGTTCATTTTAATATAAGAAAATTTCGTTTAAAACATCTGAAATATTTGATGATGTTGGTAGTCCAAAGATATGACAAAATGCATTTTAATATTGAAGTTCATATAATCATGGTGTTAAGCCAGACTAAGCCAAAACACTAGTATAACATTTTGACTAATTCAAAGTGAAAAACAATTAAAAAATATTTCCTTTTATTAACGAAAAAATTTCGCACAAAAAATAATTTTTTAATCAAAATAAAAATAAATATAAATAAAAGAAACATAAAAACTAATAAATTTTCCATAGAAAAATTATAAAAAAAAATATTCTTAATGCTGATTAAAACACTTTTTAATAAAAATAATGATTATTTGTGACTAAAAGTATAATTTAATTTTAATTAATTTACTTAAATCGAACTATAGATTTTGCTAAAAAATTTTAAAATTAAGAAAAGGAATTGGCAGAATGTGAACTAAGCTAATTTAAAATCTTTTTACGTACTTAAGAAAATCTTCAAATTTTTCCTTTAATTATCTTCGTTAGTAAGAGCTTCCAGCGAATACAGTTTATGAATTCAAAGAATTCTCTTGAAGTGTAGTTGCTCAAATTAAAGTCCAACAAAATAAATAATTATGCGGATGTAATTTCTTGGAACATAAAATTGAAAATTTTCAGAGAAAAAAAATAGAAAAACTCCATATAAATTTTTCGCTGAATTACATGCTACCAACAGCAATTGGATTTCAGCTTAATATTAAATTAATTTAGTCTATTTTAAACAATTTTCGCGTTTCACTATCAAATATTTTTCTTCGAAAACCTCTTTGGCATTGAATAAAATGAAAAGTGTGAAGTGAATGACCGCTTTTAATTAGCTCATGAAGCTAAATTTGCAATTTCCCGGAATCGCAATGGTTGGTTAAAATTTATATCGGTTTTCAAAATTTGTTGATTATTTTTTTAATATTAAATTTCTAATAATATAAAAAATAGTTATAAATAATATGAAAAATTAACCACTAAAAGTGTTGGGAATAATTAAAATACACGCCTAGTGAGTATAAAAATAATAGGAAAATTCTAAATTTTTACTGCATATATATATATTGCATATATACATGCGGTAGTCGAAATATTCCAATGAAGAGTTAAATCAGTTTTGGTTTTTTAGCAGCCTCTACCTAAACTACTGTGTGGATGCAATTTACATATTCATTATTTTTCGAGCTTCTTTTGCTTGATTGCATTCCTCTTGTAAAATTGTAGCCTTCCAAAGCTACTCAGATTTAAAAAAATCGCTCGATGGTAGATTTTTTTCGCTCGGAAATTCTGACAAATAATGCGGCGTCTGTTAGAAGGTTTCAAGACTATACATACTCATATGGGAACCGCTGTGGAAATCTGAAGACCGATGCCCATAGCGCACTTGGTGTATGGAGCAACACTTTGCCAGCCTGCTGAACGACAGTGAAGAGTTGACACAAAAGCATGGCCGACGATTAGAACCTAGTAAGCTATGCCCAATTCAGACACTCCACGGCTTGCACCAATCACTGTGGTACTAGCCTCCTAAATATCGTATATAACTTCTGAACAAGCGTTTTGTCTCAAAGACTAAAGATTAAAGTCAACAAACTCATCGAACCTTATCAGTGTGGCTTCAGACCTGGTAAACCAACCATCAGAAATGAATCGATTTACATCACCTTTTCATCGATTTTAAAACAGCCTTCGATACCACAGTAAAGAGTCTGTGGTATCACTGCAAGACTACTGCAGTGCAGTCGATGCCGTCGTTTGCTACCGAACGAGGTTCCAGGAAGAATGGCTCCTTTCTTTATGATAATGGAGAAAATAATGAGAGCTGCAGGGCTAAGTAGAGAAGATACAACTTATTATAGAAAATTTATTTAAATACAAAATTTAATTAATTTTTGTTATAGTGAATGACAGGGAATGTCGAGCACTCCGGGTGTATTTCTGACATGAAATAAAAGCTCTGCATAAAAAGACGCAGACCACAAATTGTGGGAGAAGCTCGGACGAAAATCGTTTGAGTATTTACAAAGCTCCAATTATATTAATATATTTATAATTTTGGAAGTTAGTTCATTCAGTGTTCGAGCTCCTGAACTTACGCATGGTAGCACGCACTGTTAACCGCTTGTCTAATGCTGCGCTCTAAGCCAAATAAAATCAATTTATTTGAGGAAAAGTTTTAAAGTGACTTTAACAACTGAAAAAAATCAGCTCACTAAATAATTTAAAAAACTCGGTTTCACTTACGCCTTCATCGTCTAGTTGAATATTTTCGACTGTTAATTTTGCAGGTTGTTGATTTGTTACAAAATACGCACGTGGCCCAAATGAATTTGTATCTGACCAATAAAGCGCCTTTTCGAAAGCTCTCCCCCGTACATCGAAGCTGAAAAGAGTAAAAGAAAGAGAAAAATATTTTAGTCTATTTTTAATTAATTAATTAATTAATAATATTGATCTGGTTTTTGTTTTAATATATCGATATTTTTTTGTGGCTTCATGTAATGTTCCAATCGAAAACGTCAAGAGTAATAACGGGCGCATCATGGTACATGCGTCATGAAAATATCCATAGAGATCTAAATATACCTACCATAAAAGAAGAGATTGAAATCGCGGCACAAAAAAATACTTAGCAAAACTATGTAACCAGCCGAACCCTTTGGTTAACACCTTGATCCATGCAAAAACAACCTTCCAAAGAGCAACGTCAAGCCAGCAGCTACCAATGGGTTTTATGTTTTAATTTAGTTTAAGTTTTTATTACTCTTTGTTAGGCTTCCTATGTCGAAGCAGATTCAATAAATAAATTTTAATGTTAAAAAAAAATATGTAATGTTACTTCGCAGTTAGAGATCTGGCTCTTATATACAGCCTTGGCCAAAGTATTAGGCACCCCACTAAAATACAAGTATTCTCAAATGTGGCTATCAAAGTTACCACTTCTTGTTGTAAATGTCTTACATTGGTATTTAACGAATGAATTGTAAATAATATTAAAAGCAATAGCACTTTGGGTAAGCTAAACATAAAAATTGTAATTTTAAAATATTCAAAAAAGATTTTTTCGCATTTAAAATTTGAAAGTGAAAGTGTAAATTATCATATGATACATTTGGTGAAAAGTTACCAATCTTATAAAAACAGTTCATATTTACCGAAACGCCTAAAAAAAGTGAAATTAGTTACGATGATAGAGTTAGAATTCAAGTTCTAAGTGAAGAAGGTAAGTCTCAGGTTGAGATTGATGGGATGTTCGCGTTCTAATGTGCTATCAGGCGATTTGTGGAGACGAAATCCCAAAATAATAAATCAAAATGTGGAAGAAAGCTTCTAACAAGTAAACGAAAAGACCGATTACTTATACGCGAGTCTCTCAAGAATCGCAAAAAATCTTCTTCTGTCCTTGCAGCTGCCCTTTCGGATGAATTTAGTCAACCAGTTAGTGCTCGAACAGATAGAAGGAGACTTCAGAAAATAAGGATGTAAAACCCGAAAGAAGCCGTGGCTCTCAGAAGAGAATAGGACAAATCGCTTGGAATGGGCTCGCCTATACCAACATTTCACGAAAGATGATAATTGAAATGTTCTGTGCTCTGATGAATCAAACTTCGAGGTAAGCTTAGTCAAGATCATCTCAAAGTATTAACTGCCATAGCTTCTTACGCTAGAGTAATTTCGAAAACATAATGCAAATCTTATGAAAACATTAATTTTTCTTTTCTACAGATTTTTGGAACACCTGGAAGATTATAACCCAGATTGCGCGGTACCCACTGTTAAGCATGGAGGAGGCCGCATTATGATCTGGGTCTGTATGGCTGCTGATGGTGTCGGCGAAATGTTCGTTTGCGAGGGTCGCATGGACTGTTGAAAGTCCATAAATGTATTAGAAGCTGTTTTTCTGCCTTCGCCTTCGTTAAGGCGCCGTTTTGGCAATACTAATTTAGTGGGGTGCCTAATACTTTTGGCCGAGGCTGTATACATAAGAATGGATCGATAAGATAAGAGCTTCTGTTGATTAAAAAAAAACCTATTTTTTACGAATCGCCGAAAACCGATCAACGTTATAAAAATGTGAATGTTTTTCTGTGTATTTTATGCACTTTGTTAAAATATTTCTTTTTTCCATAACAAAAAAAAAATGCAGTATAAGGTGGTTAAAAACCGGTGCAGGTAGTAAATTTAAACCGCTACAAGGAGTCATTGAAAAATAATATCCACATTCGCTGTAAATAATACATGCGCATGCATATATATGTATGACCACAGAATTTCATATCGCAAGCAACAGGGATCAAAGTATGCATAAATACGAGAACGTGTATAAAATGTGTATAAAAACAACAAAAAATATCGCAGTATTAATTTGCAACGTACGTATTTTTTGCGTGTAAAGGCCACAAAAGCTTCAGAACTGATTTTTAAAACAAAAACGTGAGATTTTTGTTATTAAAAAATGACTGAATTTCACGCAGAGTGTTTGAGGAATTTAACACCTTCGCTTATTGTAGAGTTGAGGCTTTTTTCAGCATTAAATTGTTGGCAATAAAAATTAAATTAAGCTTCCTATGACAATGGCACTTCAACTGATGTCAAAACACATCGATGAATTTTTTTTTTGTATACTGAGATTTTGCTGTTTTATTTCACTTTAATGGCTAATGCGCATCCTCAGAGACACCGTACAGTGCCTAGCGAAGAATGCTGCTGTGAAGCAGACTATCGATGAAGATCCGAATTAGTCCATATGCCATTGGGCGCAACTTTATAAAAGTTTTTGCAAAAGAATCTTGGTTAGCTGGCTTACAAAATCCAACTCGTGCAAGGCTTGAAGCCGCATTAAGCAAGTTCCAGGTATATTTTTAGTTGAATGGGTGGTAGGTTAATTAACCAAAATTGTGGCATTTATAGTAATGATGACCTGCTGGATATTGTTGAGACACCGTTACAATGTCCAAAAATCACTGTGCGCTCTACAGGCGAAGATAATCATTGGTCTATATTTTCTCAATAACGAAGCTAGCCATAACGTTACAGTCGATAGGGTACTCTTTATTGCCAAGATTAATGATTTCTTTCAACCTGAATTGCAGGAAGTTCATGGACTTTGGTTCCAATTAGACGTCGTTATGTGTCATAAAAAAAAAATTATTGATAGAAGCATTTAATGTGACCTCAAAGATCGTGCGCTTTAGTGCCCTTGGTCTGTTTTTTTGTTGGATCACTCATCTTCGCAGATAAGTTCGGGGCGATTGACGACTTGATGGAGAATATTCAGCGTGTTATTGCTGACGTACGGCTCCAAGTGCGGCAAATAGTGTTCGAAAATCGGACATCTCAGCAGATGCGGCGGTTACTTGCCAATTTTTATCTCGATAATCGAGCTAAATTCTTGGAAATATCCTTAAATGTTTATTTTTGCAATAACCTGGTTGTTAAACCGGTATTTCTCTACCTGTAAATACAATTGAAGTAGTTGAAGTGCAGTTGAAAATATGATATTTTGTACCAAAAAAATTAAAAGAAAAAGTTTTTTTCACTTAAATGAATAGAAAGCAAAGAAAACATTCGCTATATTCACAAGTCAAACAGCTGAAAATATGAATGGTTTTTATGGTCCAGATATGGCAACATGCACAATTTTTGTTTGGTCGAGTTCGTTTTTGATGTAAAAGATGGTCTACAGTGTGGAAGGCCAATCGTCGAAAATGTCCATCAAATAATGGAAATTGTCGAGTCTTACCGTCATGAGAGCTTGATCGTGGTCGAAGGGCAGTGACCAATCACAAACAGTCTCCAATCTATGGTTGACGGCCAGGAGGGTTTTGTTGTGTATTTGGTGAGATTTGCAATGAATCATCCACTTTGATCACTACGAACAAACTCTTCATTCGGACTTTTAGAGCAAGCGATCTCCGATAAGCGTTCAACTGTGGCCAACAAAAGGGGGTTTGTGTTTTATCAGTGTTTACATTGCACACATTGAATATAATACGCGAGTGGTTTTATTTTAATCAGTATAATTCCAGACCACACACATAGAGAGTGACTCGACAGAAAATCCGTAAGCTTGGTTCGGTTATTATTATGTATCCAACTATAGTCCGGATCCCTCACCAATTGATCACTATCTGTTCCGGTCTATAGCGAAGGGTTTGGCTGATGAAGAGCTGGCCTGAAGAGAAGCCCATGAAAAACGATTCTTTCAATTTTTTGCCTAAAGAAATATAAAATTATAAAATTACCTTCGAAATGGAAAAAATAAATAAATAAAATAAATAAATAATTCAAAAGTAATGGATGACTTTTTACTTGACCCAATATGAGTTTATTATTTCTTTCTGAACATAAAGATGCAAAAACACAAATTAGAGAAGGAAATCTGTCGGAAAATCGCTTCTGCGGTTACAAAGCATCAATTATATATATGAATGGATAACTTTTTTACTTGATGATTTCCAATAAATGGAGGAACCTACAATTTGTACTAAGCCGCCTCCAAATGGCTGTTGGTTTTTTTTACGAGGAGCCTTTTTTCATGTCTGAAATGCACTCGGAGGGGTGGACATACCCTGCCGAGGGGCGACCGCGATTAGAAAATTTAACTTCATATTTAATTTGATTTAATTCTAATGTTAACTGTTGGATATTGGTGGCATCAGGAGATGAACCCGAGTCTTCCGAATGCCAGTACGTAATGCTAACCACTCGGCTACCGCGGCCGCCATATTTACAAAAAAGTCGTTCAGCCATTCGGTCTTTCCATTTGTTTGGAAAAACATCAAGAAGCAACATACAAATTGGAGGACCTCCGCAGACTATCGCATTGGCGATTGTGAAGCGTCAATTATAAGAAAACATTAAAACGCTCAAAAAAAAATTAAAAATTGGAATCTATTCAAATGTACAATAGAACACTTCAAAACACTTTGCTGTGAATAATAATAAAGAAAACGTATGTATGTATGTACGAGTTTACAACATCTTCTAATTCATTGTCCCATTCAGTTTGGTCACATAAATTGTTGTTGCTGCGTGATGATTGCTTTCGACAACGCACCATAAATATTATCTGCACTGAAAATTGCCAACATAATGTTGCTTTGAATATGTCTTTCCTCATTCTCATTCCAGTTGGACCGTTATCAGTAATACAGTTGACGGACATTTGAATGGCAAGTGAATGACCGTAATTTGTGGTTTTGGTGTGGGTGTTTTGTTATGACGCAACCGTCTGTCATTGAGCAAACAATAAAATACAATACTTAAAACGCATTTGTGTGTACGACTGCCGATGCGCGTGAGTGAAAAATTATGGCTTGAACACGAATAAGCATCGTTTAAAATTATAATGAAAGCGCGTATTATTATCAAAAGTATGCA